CACACACACACACACACACACACACACACACACACACACACACACACTTCATGTCCTAGGCCCTCCCTGTCCCTAGATACTCAAATTCAGGTGGATTAGAAAAGAGTCTAGGGACATACATTTTACACAGCAGTTTGACGAACTTTATTCTCTTCTCAGTCCTTTCAATTTTCTAACTCCCTGGTTACACACAGGGGAGTCAGTGTCATTGCAGACCTGCCAGGTCAAATCAGAATAATGGCACTCCCGGAAGTCACAGCCACGTTGCTCCTCTTTTAGATGACGTTCTCCAGGGTGGGGCCTGAGATCCCCCAATTCTCTTCTACATCTGGCACAGGCTCATGTTCTGGCCCACTGAATTACGGTCTTCAGGGCCTTCGGTCTGAATTTTCAGCAGTGGTGACTTTCTTACCCCACCTTCCTTATACCCAGGCTGAGCATCTGCTTTGATCTTTCTGTCTTACTGCCTGGGGTCTAGCTTGGCTCTCTAGCTTCATCTGCTCATGGGCATGACTTGGGTTTCATGTCTTTTCTGTTGGAAACTTTCATATAATGCAGACTTAAAACTTAGTTTCCAAATATATTAATTCCCTGGATTTTTTTCTTCTTGAAATATTAATATCCCCATGTCATTATGCACATACTGCTCTTTCCTCTCAGTCAATGCAACCTTTCTTTAGCCTGTAAGGACTTCTTGAAAGGGGTTGCTTTGGGTACAAAATATTCTTTTCTGTGAAGTAAAGGCTTTTAGGCCATGGTCTCTCTTTGTCTAACCCCGTGTTTCAGCACACACTCACAGGCACTGCTACCCCAGGAGTCATTGGGAACTGAAGGAGCACTGAGTCCATCCAGCAACCCCATCTAGAGCCGCTAAAAGGAACGGCAGGCAGCTCCTTTACTCAAAAGAGCATCGATCCCAGCCCTGAGGACTACAAGGCAACAAGCGTGTCAGAGCAGACTGCCCTGCTGCCAGGTTGTATTCTGCTGTGAAGAGACAGCGTAACTGATAAACCCACACTTGTTTCAAACCAGGAATCTTTGCCACTTTAGTTTAGTCACCCCTTCACCGAGTCTTCTTCGGGAGCTCAGCTTCCTTACCTCCAATTCTCAGATCATGTCTTTCTGTACCTCCACTGCGCTTTCTGTTACTGTGGTTTAGCTTCTTGTCTGGACGTGTTCTTCTCAATATAATAATAACAAAGTCTTTATTTTTTTTTTTTTTCATCCTCTTTATATAAAATGAAAGCAAGCAAACAGCAAAACGACTCGCCTCACTCTCTCCAGGGAAGAGCAGAAACTGAGGGATGAGGAGGGTCCTGTTCATGGTCTGCCTTTGTTATTACCTGGCTATCCCAGCAGGTTTCTGGACTTTATTTTCATCGTCTGGGAAATGGAGTTAGCATAAGCAACAAAACTGACAGCATTAGACTAGGGCTGGAGGCGCGGCGGCCTTCTGCCTGTTACTTGAAGCAGCCCTGTCTTCTTCAGGGCTCCCAGGAAGGCAGTGTCCTCACGCTGGCTCACACCCTTATCCCTCTTTTCTTATCCTAGCTAAAGCCACGCCTTTCCCATCAGTTCAGGTGCTGACCTCTCAATGACTAGGTCAAGTGTCTATTTCATATAACAACATATGAACGTACCAGTTCTTCACTATAAGGCCACCAATCCCAGTTTTAAGTTTATTTTGTTTTGTGTGGTTATTTTATTAGACCAGAAATAGACCATGTGCTCCATGAGAACATTCACAGCTGTTTTCTCTCACCCATGTCCCTTCAGCACCTATACTCAACATATATTTGTAGAATAATGAGAGAATGT